CATTCCTTTCTCAGAGCCTCTGACCCTGATTTGCCCACTCTCTGCTCACTGGCAATATTGATTAGACAGTGGTTTCCTCCTCATCTCTGCCCCTGGAGAAACATGGGTGCCTGTGACTATTGAGAAATTCCTTAAATGTTTTACTGCAGTGTTATATTTCATAGTTAAATAAGCAACTCCTTAGTGTTCATCAACTAAGAAAGGGTTGTATAAACTGACTTATGTCCATAGTATGACTCTATCTGTGATAATGTAATAAAACCTACAATATTTGTTATGGAGCTTATGAAGGATGTTACAAAAAGTTTTGCACCAGGATATCATTATGTAACAAATAAAAACTTTAAGTGAAATACTGCATATTTCCTGTTGTTCCTATTTGATGTACAGTTGTGATTCTGTGGTGAAACACGTGAAAGCATCACCCACAAATTGTGAAGATGAAGTAGAGTAGGGAGGGCCAGAATGAGTAAGGAGGTCAATAGGGGTTTTACTTTATGTATAGCCTTTTATTACTTTTATTAATTAATACATTCATGCATTTTCTAATATTAAGAACTAATAAGGGTCATAAAAGCCATCACAATGACTTATCCATATTATTTTCTATTCTTCTCATGGAAGTGGGGAAAGGAGAGAACATCTATCTTCTTCACAGCCTTTGTCTGACCATCCTGTGTATCAGTATTTCTCCTCCTGTGGATCACACAGATTTCAGTTTGTGCTCCTTTCATGGCCGAACTCCTTGATATTATTACAGATATGTGTGTTTTATGTTTTATCTTCCCCATTAGACTATAAGACAGTGTCTCCTCTCCTTTTATATACTCATTATTCACTACAGTAAAAATCAATAAATATTCCTTGATTTATTTTGAACTAAATGGAGAAATTTAATGAATAGTACATGATGAGAATTACAACTTACTTTGAAATTTAACTTCCATGAAATAGCATTTTAAGCATAACCCTTTTCACCCCCATTCCCTGTGGACAGGGCTCAAAGTGGCCCAGTGGTTAAATAATATATGAATTACTGTGATAAAAAAGATTGTAAACAGGTATCTGCATGAAAAAAAAATTAAATTAGATCCCTGACTTTCTCCCTGTACAAGTATCAACACAAAGTGGATTAAAGACCTTAATATAAGACTTGAAATTTTGAAGCAAGTGCAGGAAGGAGCACAGAATACACTAGAATTAACAGGCATAGCCAATGAATTCCTAAATGAACTCAAGTGGAAGGATTGGTAAATTCTTCCAACTAAGGGGAAGGATTGACAAATAGGACTACCTGAAGTTAAAAATCTTCACGAAAAAAAGAAATGGTCACCAAATTGAAGAGACTGCCCATAGAATGGGAGAAAATCTTTGCCAGCTATATGTCTGACAAAGGAATAGTAACCAGAATATACAGGGAGCTCAAAGAACTAAACTCCCCAATAATCAATGACCCTATGAAGAAATGGGCAAATGATCTTATCGGACAGCCCTTTCAAAGGAAGAAGGCTGAATAACCGAAAAAAATGCTCAATATTCCCGGCCATAAAGGAAATGCAAATCAAACCAAATTAAGATTCCACCTCACTCCTGTTAGAATGACAACCATCAAGAACACAAACAACAACAAATATTGGCGAGCATGTGGGAAAAATGAACTCTCATACCCTGCTGGTGGGAATGTAAACTAGTACAACCACTGTAGAAAACAATAAAGAGGCTCCTCAAAAAACTAAAAATAGATCTGCCATGTGATCCAGGAATTCTACTCCCAGGAATATACCCTAAGGTTATAATAAAGGCACCTGCACACCCATGTTTATTTCAGCATTATTCACAATAGCTAAGCTATGGAAAGAACCAAGATGCTCCACTATTGATGAATAGATTAAGAAAATGCGGTTTTTTATATACAATGGAATTTTATTCAGCCACAAAGAACAATGAAAATTTGTTGTTTGCAGGTAAATGGAACTGGAGAACATCATCTTAAGTGAAGTTAACCAGGGTCAGAAGATCAAAAACCACATGTTTTCTCTCATATGTGGAATATAGACAATACAAATACACCAACTTGTGAAAAACAAGGTCAATGCAAAGGGGAGGTCACATACAAGAGAGGTAGAGTAAAAGAAGGAAGTGAAGAAGGTGAATATGGTTGATGTACTTGCTATACAGGAATAAATTTAGAACTATTAAACCTGTTGAAATCACCATAAGAAAAGTACTAAAATACAAAGAAGAAAAATAAAGGAGATGAACCAATCCAGGTTATAATACATATGTACATGGAAATGCCACAAGGAAACTCTCTGTATAGCTATCTTAAGCAAACAAAAATGTAATTTTTTTTCTTTTACAAAATCAGAGAACAGGAGAGCAGCACAGGTCCTGTCTGGGGAGAGAGGGGGTTGGTACCAATTAAAAAGGGGGAGGATGTGGGGAGAGGGTGTAGGAGGGTGAATATGGTATAAATATTGTACACATGTATGGAAATGGGAAAATGATATCTGCTGAAACTATTCCAGGAATGGGAGGAGGGGGATAAGGAGAATGGTGGACAGGGTGAATTCAACGGTGATACATTTAGTATATTCTAAGAACTTTTGTAAATGCACAAAGTACCACTTGCACAACAAAAAAAAGTAAATAAAATTTAAAAAAGAAAAGAAAGCCAGGCTCAGTGGCTCTATTTGTTAATACTAGCTATTTGAACGTAGAGATGTGGAGGATTGCAGTTTGAGGCCAGCTTAGGCAAGAAAGTTAGATAGACCTTTCTCAACAAATGAGCCAGGCATAGGTGTGCATCCCCATAATCCCTGCTACACAGGAGGCAGAGGTAGGAAGATTACATCTAAGGCAAGCTCTGGGCAAAAACATGAGACACCCACTTGAAAAATAAAGAAAGAAAAACAGGGCTACTGGCATGATTCAAGTGGTAGAACTCTTACCTAGCAAGAGTGAGGTTCTGAGTTCAAACTCCAGTTTTGCCACCATAAAAAGTAGATGATCCTGTGTTATAGTTAATGAAGATTATTTAATTTTTATTGAAAAGAATGAGTGCATTTGATATATATGTGTGTATATGTAAAATGCTTTATATATAGCAAATGTATATATAACTACATGTGTATATAATACACATATGCATGCATATATGTGTATATACAGTTTTTACTCAGTTTTTTTTTCACTCTTGAAATCCGTATCAAATATAATTGAAGTCCTTCATTTCATTGAGTATCAGGTGTTCTATCTGGCTCCTTACATATCCAACCTCATTACAGACAGCGCGTCTTCACTTTGCATGTGAATAATCCAAGGATTATAGACACAGATTGCATATGGACATGAAAATGGTCTTGGAGTTCCACAGTGCAGGTCAGGTTTTCTGACTCACATTCCACTCCACACTGCCAACAACTGATCCTCAATGAACATTTATGTATTAAATGGTGTAAAAGAATTTCACAGCTAGCAGCACCCTTAGAGGTCCTTAGAGCAAATTCATAATGCAAAGGCAGACAGCATGAACCATGTGACAGGATAAAAAAAATTAGCCAGTCAGTGAATGTGACCAGAATGAAACTATAAGTAAAAAGAGTAAGAACAATAAGGAGACCAATAACAATAACCATAATAATAATGAGGAGTAGGAGAAGAAAGGCTTAGTGTTTTTTTCTACATATTTTTCAAATGTGTAGCTTGTTTTTGAGAATTTTTACTTTTGTTTTAAGTACTTTGTAGACAACAAGCCACTCAGAAATAGGAAAAAAATTTGAGGATTGGACTGGGTAATTTGAATTCATGGCTTTTTCTTGCAAAGCAGGCAGTCTACTGTTTGAGCCTCTGTCCATTTTTCTCTGGTTATTTGGAGATGAGGGTCTCACAAACCTTTTGCCTGTGTTGGTCTCAAATCACAATCCTCCTGATCTCAACTTACCAAATAGCTAGGATCTGGTGTAAGCCACTTGATAGACCTTCATTTGACTACTGGCCCTGTCAACTTCAAGGGAATGTCAAGGACACTGGCAAGACAAGTCTTCGAGGTGCAGAGCCTGTGATAAGATGCATTTCAATATTCAGTAGACTGACATCTTTACTTTGATCTCTGGCTTACACATTTTTTATGAAGAGTTTTTAATAGTAGACTGACTAACATTGAAAATATTTTCTTCTTTGTTTGTGTAAATTCAGCCCATTGTTGCATAAATACTGGCACCTTTCTTGTTGCTGTGACTGAATGTCTGACATAAACAACGTAAATGATGAAAGATATATTCTAGCTAATGGATTTAGAGGCTTCAGTCCAGCATGAAGTAGTAGAGCAGAGCTGATCAACTCATGGAAGCCAAGAAGTAGAATGGAGCAGTAACAGAAAAGGTCCAGGGCCAGATGGATCCCCAAAGTCAAGGCCACAGTGACACACTTCTTCCAACCAGTCCACACTGTTCACAGTTCCAGCACATCCCAATAATCCATTCAAATTTTGAAGTCATCAGTGGATTAAAGCATTTATTAGTTCAGACTCCTCATGATCTCTGGAAAGGTCCTCCCAGGTTGAGATGTGTGCTTTAGGAGTTTCTTAAGTTAATCATGGAGACAATAAAGATTACCACTGCACATGTTTCCAGTTTATTAATGCTCATCGATAGCATGCATAAATATAAATTTTGATCTCTACATACTTACTCTACACTTAACCTTGATCTAAGACCTACCTTGTTTGACCTATTGCTGTTTTTCTGTGTCTAAGTCCCTCATGGGGTAAGAGAAGAACATTTAACTAGCGTTCAGTAGGTGATGATGTGACCACCAGGTGGCAGTAAACCTCAACTGATGCATAGTATGCAGAGTTCATTTCAGTGGATTAAGAATAGGCAGAGGCAAAGCCTTTTTCTCTTGATTGGCTACATGAGAAGCCACTAGAACTGTTAGAGATAAAACACAACAACCTGATAGCAGAGGTAGCTCTCCCAGCTAGAGTATCAAGTCTACAGTTGATCTTAACTGGAAGAACATGAAGACATCCACTCACACTTTATTCCTGTCCCTGTGGCTGCAGCTGGACTGTGAGTTGAGGATTTGTGGGCAACAGAATATATGAGTGGATGTTCTTTAGAAATCCAGCAAGAAATCGTGTTTATTCAGGTTTCCTCTAGGTACTGTAGAAAAAATGAATCCTGGAGAGTAATGACCTAACAACCTTCTCCTTTCTCTTCTCTTCTTTTTCTTTTCTTTGTTTTTCTTTTTTTGTTGTTGTCGTGCATAGGGGTGAGCCAAGGAGAGAAGGTGGAGCAGCATCATTCCATCCTGAACGTGCAGGAGGGAGACAGCTCTGTTATCAACTGCACTTACTCAGACAGTGCCTCAGTCTACTTCCCTTGGTACAAGCAAGAACCTGGAAAGAGACCCCAGGTCCTTATTGGCATTCGTTCAAATCAAGACACAAATAACAAAGAGAGACTCATGGTTTTACTGAGCAAGAAGGAGAAACACTTCTCCCCGCACATCAATGGTACCCAGCCTGGGGACTCAGCCATCTACTTCTGTGCAGCAAGTGCACATCGCTTCCTAGGCACCTGCAACCTGTCCTCAAACCTGCCACTAGGGCTGCAGCCCCACCTTTGTTCTTTGCCACAGACATCTGTGTAGGATTTGCCAGTTGTTTGTAAGTGGCAACTATCACACAGACATTAAAAGCATGCTATAAGATGAAAAGATTCATGGTGACCCAGAAAGGGTTAGAACATTTTATTGGCTGATTGTTGGTTAAAAGTTGTTTTCTATTTTTTATTTTATTCATCACATTTAAGGCATGCAACATTATGTCTGCCTGTATAGTTTTAGTTTTGAAAAACCTGGATAGCTCAATGAGGAGATGCACAGGGCAAGGTCTGCAGGAACAGGCACAGAGACTCATGTCCTCTCCAGCATGCCAAACCAGCACATCCTCATGTTCTGTAATCCTGAAACTGCACTCTATGGATTCTTACAAAGAATTGTGATGTTTATCTTGAAATGTTTTATATGTGAATTTCATTTACTACAAAACTCCTCCACGTAAGTAACTAGTTAGTATCAATATCACCATCTGCTAATCATGGGTTTTTGATTCCTTTGAAAATACTTTCCTTATTGAAAGGTATTACACGCTGCTGGGCACCAGAGGCTCATACCTGTAATTCTAGCTACTTGGGAGGCAGAGATCAGGAGAATCATGATTCAAAGTCAGTCCAGGAAAAATAGTTCTTGAGACCCTATCTCAAAAATACCCACCACTACAAAGGACTGGACAAGTGACTCAAGTGGCAGAGTGCTTGCCTAACAAATGTGAGGTCCTGAGTTCAAACTTCAACACTACAATAAAAGGATTGCATGCTAAATGTAAAAAATATGAGTAATACAAAACTATGAAACTAATAATTCTATACTTAATCTGTTGTTAATATTTTGTCAAGGCTACAAAGAAGTAGATATGTAGGATCAACTAGTCTGCAGATCTATTGTACAATGTGGAGATTATGATTAATAAAATCATACTGTATAAGATTTTTGTTAAATGTGTAGGTTTAACTTGTCAAATGCTCAAAAAAAGTGACAGTATAAAATTATAGACTTATGATTTAGAGTTATTAATTTGGTTCCATGTTGTAAACATATAACTATCTACATTCATTCTATAACATGAGGTTATAAACCTCAAAAAATGAACAATATTAGTTATTTTTAAAAAGTACTTTTTCCTGTTTTCTTTGTCAATAAATCTTCATTATTATTAAATTTATTTTTAGACATTTAATTTTTACTACTGCATTATTCTTTCTGGCGTATGTATAAAATGTTTAATGCATATTTTCACCACCTTACTCAACTCTCAGTAATGGTTTGATAAGGGAATTTGAACTAATGGTTAATTTACAGATAACCTCCTACAAATCTCTCTGCCTAATCAGGTTTCAACTGGATCAACATTGCTACCACCATGTTCTCCTTACAAAAGATTATCTTCTTGTGTTGAAAAAGGGAGATTGTATCAATAATTAATTTTCCAATATTCCCACATTTAGTCAAGAGGAAGCTAATCAAGAGCTCCTATATTCTTACTAAGGATGGATATTGATATAGTAAGAATGATCCCTCTTGGCTGAGTTATGGATGTTCATCATCAGCTGATTGGCTAGTTCTTATAGTCATTAGAATAAAAGGTTTAAAAGGTCTGAACATGTATCCCAGCCCTCAACTGCTTTGCATACTTCCTTCACTGCACAACTAGCTCAGATCCCAGAGAAGCAAGGCAGCTCTTGATTGGTGTAGTTCCCCCAAATCTGGTAATGGGGTGAGAGGGAAGCATGGCTTATATTTTACTATTTTTTTCTTGGTTGTGAGAGACAGAGTGTGATTATCTTTGGTTTAACTGCCATATTTTTTTAAGATGACAAGTTTTCCAATGGAAGAAACCAACCTTCTGTAGCCAGAGTGTGCAGAATCAGCAGCCAGTTATCTAAGATCCAGACACATTCAAGCTTTAGATGCTTACATGGTTGGTGTGTGTTTTCTCCTTTTGTCTCTCTAACAAGAATGGTGGATTAAAACAACAGAAATATCTTTTCTCTCATAACTCTGGAGGCCTGAGGTTGAAACCAGTTTACCTGGGCTGGAATCTAGATATGTTTCAGGGCTGCACCTCTCAGAGGCTGTAAGAGGATCTGTTCCTTGCTTCTTCCAGCTCTGATGGTGACCAGCACTGGGGCTGCATCAATCCAGTTTCTGCCTCACAGTGACACTGACATCTCTTGTGGTGTCAGCTCTTCTCTTTCCTCCCTCTCACAAGCACACAGGTGATTATATTTCAGGCTCATCTAATCCTTGATGTTCTTACAACTCAGGATCTTTAATTTAATCATATCTGCATATAAAGGAATAGGAGCTGATTTGGGGGGAGCTGTTGCTTTGCCTACCACAGTTGACATGTCTGGGGCCTTTAATTCTACACTGAGAAAATAATATATGTATTAAGCACAGTTCAATCAGAAAAATAGAAACTACAATATTTTATTTCCCCGTGTTCTTAATTTTTATTTTTAAAATATCACATAAAGAAAACTAACACTTTCATGTGCAGTTCTATCTGTGAATATTGAATTCTAACACACTGTATAGATTAATACCTATTATACAATCACAATACAGAAAGATTTGATCACCTCAAAATCTCTCTTGTGCTATCCTGTTGTAATCACGTGCTCCTCATCCTTAACTCCTTGCAGACCTCAGTGTGTTCTTCCCCAGGTCTTTCAAAATATCATGTGAAAACAACCACACAGTTTCTAATCACTGGAGAACTCTGCATCATGGTTAGAGGAAAAACAATCCCCATTAGGCACACAGGGATCCCCAGCTCTACCACAATGCTCAGTTTTTCCTGCACTTAAATTAAATTAAATTTTCACACCATTTTATCAAAAGTTGTTATTTCATGTGTTTAAATTTCAGTTTTGCAATTGGTAATGGAGAAGCACAGCTGAGGATTACACCAATTTATATTGTCACTTTGAGTCATGTTTTATGTGTAAGTTTTTTTGCCCTAGTTCTGTCTTACATTTTTATCAATTAGCATTTTTCTAACATTTTGAAACTATTTTATTGATCAAAATATACTTTGTCTACACTAATTGGGGCTGGGCTATCTTTTGGAGTTTCCAAGTAGTAGCATTGAATGACAGATTGAACAAATATTTGAGTTTGTTACACAGCAATGGCATTGTAGAGGTGAAATATACCATTAGTGTGGTTATCACCTCAAGTCATATTATACCTGAAAAAGTTATTTTATTATTAATTTAATATAGTAGGATACATTACAAATATATAACATTCTACCATTAAATTGAGAAAATATCACTAAGAGGAGAAAAACAAAGGGCTGCAAAAGAGAGTGTGACCATCAGTGGTTCCAATCATACAGCAAGCTGTGTTATGATAGTGTTCAGTGGATTGTCTATCTCATATAAGTACAGCTTTGTTTCAAGGATCCTGAGTCAGCTCTCTTCTCCTCCTCATCCTCCTCACCATCTTCCGCCATTTCATCCTCCTGGCTTTTTTTCTTGAGATAGCACCCCAGTTTTTCCTGGGCTAGCCGCAAATTACAATCCACTTATTTATGCCTCCAAAGTAGCTGCAATTACTGGTATGAACTACCATGCCTGGCCCTAGCTTTCATCTTTTCTGAGAGGTCTCCTCTCTGGTCAGTTCACAACAAGACAACATATGATTTTGTGAAGGCTGAGAGATAAAGTAATAAAGCATTGCAGACACCATGCAGGTTCCAGGACATCTGATACAGGAATTCATTGCAGTTGTAATGTTCTATTTGTTTCCAGATTTTCAGCAGATAGAGAGTAGGTGATGAAAACCTTAAGTTCTGAGTGATGCCAAAACCTTACATACCTGTCCTAGAGAAATATGCTCCATGTGTACAGATGAGTGAAGTTACACAGACAGAAAATGTAGCATAAAACTGATTTTCAGTTATCACAAGTACAGTGGATGATAGGAGAGTGCTTCAACCAAGACAGAAGATAAAAATAAACACAAGTAATTTACACACTCATAACCCACAGAGAATGAAATATTGTAAAGTCCTATCGGAGATACAAATTGTTCCATAGGACCATATTCTTATTAATATTCCCCCTTCATAGATTTTATGGGATTTTATTGGCTACAGAAAGACATTAATTGGCCACATTCCCTGTTTTCTCACGAGTGTTCATTTAATGCTGCAGTAAATTTGTCCCAACTGTGATGAGCTGTCTCTGGGGGTTTTAGCAAGAATTTATTAAAGACCCTGTAGCTCACCTTTTTGTCTTTGGAAATATCTTATTCTCATTGGTGAAGTAAACCAACTGCTTGAAGTCTTTCTTTACAAAATTGGGAAACAAAGTTTCTATATCTGAGAAGTAATTGTAGAGTGTTTCCACAGATTTGTCTGCATATTCTCCAGCAGGTTCTTGTGTAAGGACTTTAGTTGGAAAAGATTGTTTCATTTCTCCTGATAAAATACTCAAGTATTTTCATCTACTTTCTTGGTATTTACCTTACATATATGTATGTAAGGTATGTAACTCAATTTATCAGTTGAGTTAACAGTACAAAGGGGTTTCCCTATGGTACTTCCAGACATGTCACATTGTATTTTTATCAAATTAGCCCTCTCTATTGCTTCTTCTTTTCCCTGTCTTCACTCCCACTACTTTAACAGTTTTTAGTAGGTGTCATTTATACCATCTTCACACATAGACATAATGTACTTCATTATTATTCACCCCATCATCCTTTTTCCTTTCTTCCTTCCTCACTGTCCTCTGAAACAGTCGAACAGTTATGTTATGGTTATCTATCCATTCATGTATCTTTCTGGTCAAAATTCTGCATATGAGAGAAAACACTTGATATTTGTTTTTCTGAACATGGTTAATTTTCTTAATATGATGACTCCATTCCATCTATTTACCTGCAAATTACATAATGTCATTCTTTATGGCTAAATAATAACTCATATGGTAATTACACTGTATTTTATTTATCCATTAATCTACTGACAGCCACCTAAACTGTTTCTGTTGCTTGGCTGTTGTGAACCATGTTGCAAA